AATGTTTAACTAAATGTGGACGTATGACATTGCTTTCGACGGAATTTATGTTCAATTAGTTGGACCGTTAACGAATGCTCCTATGTTTCTCGATGAAAATAATGTTATCATACGAGTATTATAGTAACTAAATTGCAGATCTATTGTAATTGAAACATTTGAAGATAATAATAATAGAAGATTGGGTTTTCGTACGCAAATCTGTTTTAGAACTATTCAAATACAATTTTCATAGAAAATTCCCTGAGATAAATACTTTGTAAACCTGTTTAGTATAATACCTTATTTTAAATATTTAAGAATGCAAAGTAAAAATTGTGAAGAAAAAAATGAAATATATTTTGACTTACACGCGATCTCCTACAACGCTGAAAAAAAAAGATACCCCACTGCTGGTAATCTAAACAAAACAAGTAAGGAAGGGCTAAGTTCGGATGTAACCGAACATTTTATACTCTCGCAAAGTCAAATGGTATACCCGTTTGAGATTTCTTTGTGGATTGACTGATATTTTCGGTAGAAGGTCAACTATAGGCACTGGGGCCCACATATTTAGTACTTAGAGGCTTGAACAGTTTTGGTTCGATTTAGACAATTTTTGGCCGCAAGGTGGCATACTTTAATTGCATTATTCACGCAAAGTTTTACCCCGATATAATCATTGTTACCTGATTTGCATAGTGGAAAGTGAAAGAATCAGATGGAATTGAAAATGGTGTTACATGGGAAGTAAGCGTGGTTGTAGTCCGATTTCGCCCATTTTCGCACTATGACATAGAAACATGAGAAGAACGTTATGCACCGAATTTGGTTGAAATCGGTTGAGCAGATCTCAAGATATGGGTTTTTTACCTAAAAGTGGGCTGTGCCACGCCCACTGTCTAATTTTGAACGCGGTTCCTATAAAGTCATCTTATACCATCTCAGAGATAAAATTTAATGTCTTTGGCGTGTTTAGTGCTTGATTTATCGCGATTTTAGTAGTTTTTAACAGTACCGTTATATGGGGAGTGGGCGGAGTTGCCACCCGATTTCAACTATTTTCACACCGGCAATAGAAGTGCTAAAAACATTTGCTTCTAGTGAATTTTGTTATTATAGCATAAGTGGTTTAGGAGATATGCACATTAAACCTATTAGAGGCGGGACCACGCCCACTTTTTTAAAAAAAGTTTTAACTGCAGATGCCCCTCCCTAATGTGATCCTGTGTACCAAATAACAGTCTTGTATCTTATTGCGGAGCTTAGTTATGGCAAGTTATTTGTTTTTGATTAATGGCGTTTTGTGGGCGTGGCAGTGGTCCGATTACGCCCATCTGCAATACCAACCATCTTACGGTACCAAGAAACATGTCTACCAAGTTTCATAAAGATATCTCAATTTTTACTCAAGTTAGAGCTTGCACGGACGGACGGACGGACGAACGGACGGACAGACAGTCACCCGGATTTCAACTCGTCTCTTCATCCTGATCATTTATATATATATAACCCTATATCTACCTCGATTAGTTTTAGGTGATACAAACAACCGTTAGGTGAACAAAACTATTATACTCTGTAGCAACAGGTTGCGAGAGTATAAAAATCTTAAGTAGAAAGCCAGCTGAATTTTAAAAAAAAATTTTGTTGTTTTTGGCCAGATCAGATAAAAGAACTGGTAGGTCATTACATGGGATACAGAGCATGCTGAAAATTTTTTATCCGATCATTTGTGTCCGAGTATCATGCAATCGAGCGCATTCTGACAATTTGGTTATGGGATAAATGCGGTTAAGAAAAATTGGCAGACAATTTTTAGTTGACGAGATATCTACACGAAATTTGGCAACTGTACAATCTCCGAAGAAATTGTTAAGATCGGACCACTGTAGCATATTTCAGCTGCCATACAAACTGAACGCTCATTGCATGGACGCTCATTGCATGGAAAACTAGTTGACGAGATATCTTCACGAATTTTTACAGCTATACAATCTCCGAGGAAATTGTTTAGATCGGACTACTATAGCATATTGCTAACTGATCAAAACCCAGTTCGTGTATGAAATCTTTTGTAAATACAATATTCATAAATATGAAGAGTATTATAATTTCGGTTGCAGCGATAGATTGTTTCTTACTTTCAAGATATAATCTCGAAATATGAAAAAAAAATTAATTGCATATTAGGTGTGCCTCTTAAAAACTGATGACTACTTTAAATAACAAAGTTTCTTCCTCTATAAGCTTGCAAAAACTTTTTTTTTGTGATTTAACGTTTAAACATAAGTGACAACCTTGGCCAAATATATGTATTCGTCTAAAATACAATTAATCGACTAAGCAGAGCAATCTAGATCTCCAGCATCGCAGCATTTCGCTTTTATCGACAATTTAATTCAAACTTTATAGGGGAATTGATATTTTAGGGCGTTCAAAGTCAATAAGTAAACATTTTTATTATTGGTCTTAATTTCGTACCCATAACTGTATAGGCACACGCACACCATAGATCTACCATACATAACTAAGCATGGGAAACGTCAAATTTGTCTTGTTTATATGTTTCTATGTGTACTCGAATAAATCAACATTCACCGTCTGTTGTCAGCGATCATGGCACACACCAAACTCCTAAATGCCGCGATTTTCCTTTGCTCCATTTTAGTTGTTGTTTTGAGAGGGAGGGCACACCGAGACCGACCAATCGGTTGGCTTGTTGTTGCTGATAGCGGATTGTTTAGCTTTCTTTTGTCTTTGCTCGCTTTTACCCTAATGTTTGCGTAGTCAACAACCATTTGCTTGCACATTTCTTTCGAGACTGCAATCGTATGTGGCATTTGCAAAGACGTGTAAGTTTGTATATAGTATAATAAACATATGCATGTAATACGCGCCCTTTTATAGCCAATCCTTTATTTTTATAGGTCTCTATGATTGTTTTGTTATTGTTATGTTTAAGTGATTGTTGACGCAATCACATTTGTGTAAATAAACAACCCGGAATACGAACAAGCACCACCCCGCAAACAGCTGTTCACAGTTCACACTTCACACTTTTCGCATTTTGCGGTGATCCACATTCATTAAACATTTCCACTTATTGAACAGTTACATACATATACGAAGCAACAAGCGTTTTCACGTATGTATATACATAAATGCATACATACAAGTACATATGTATATATAATATTAGCAGTATGATTTATTTGTATGTTTGATTTATCACCCTCACACTTGAATAAACGAGTTGGCGCCTTTCATGAAATTAAGATTTCAAGAAGTCAACAAGTGAAGAAGCGCTAAGTTCGGGTGCAACCGAAAATTTATACTATCGAAATTTACAAAGATAAAAGTAGGAAATACTTTCAGGTTTTGCAAAACTTTATAATAAAGAAGAAAAAACGTTAACTTCGGTTGCACCGAAGCTATAATAGTTTACGTACAAGAATGCTATAGCGGTCCGATATGAACCTTACAATACTTTAGATACATACATAATAGATGTCAGTTTGTATGGCAGCTATGTAAGTATATGCTATAGTGGTGAAAAGAGCAGCTTTTGGGGAGCACAGAACGTGTGCAAAATTTCAGAACGATATCTCAAAAACTGAGCGACTACTTTGTGTATGGACAGACAGATAGACGGACGCTCTGGCTAAATCGACTAAGCTTGTCTCGCTAATTATTTATATACATACATACACATTTCCTAGTTTGGTCGTCAGCTTGTCTCGCTAATCATTCATATATATGTATACATATTTTATAGCGTCTCTTTCCTTCTGGGTGTGGAAAACTTAATAATTTATATTAAAACTGTCGCGTCAGAATTCATTATTCATTCTTCGACGAAACCGTGAGCTTATGTACATAGGTATATTAAAGGTCATAGACTCATTTAGTTTCATAACTACATATTTTTTGCTTCGTGTACATATACTAAAACCGACCTAATTAACTGAGATATACATACATATATACGTGATATAAACCCAACTAAATGGTTACATATGTATATGGTAACTGGGGTAATTTCAAACATTTTCGGCAGTAAATTATAGCATATCCAATATTACACGTAATATTAATTTTCTAACTTTTATTGTTATATATCACAGGTTGACCGCTATTTTTGGTAAAAAGTCAGCCATAGAAACTCCGGTCCACATATTCGTCATATGGAGCTTGATAAGTTATAATCAGATTTCGGCAATTCGAAGACGCGCGACTTCATATCTTCAGGGCACTATTTGTGCTAAGCTTTATTCCGATCATTGGTGTTTGATTTGTATACTGTAAAGTGAAAATTGTGTTGTTAAAAAGTAGGCGTGATTCAAGTCCGATTTCGCCTATTTTCACACTCTAGTATAAGAAGGTGACGGTGAAGGAAAAGTAGTTCCTGAGGTATAGGATTTCCGGAAACACTCCTTATCATTTTTATTAGTCTTTAAATTAATACATTAAAATGTCTAGGAAAAGAAAAAAATTAAAATTGTATCCGTATTAGGGTCATTAGCCACTTGAATATATGTACCTAAAGACTCCTAGCTATTTAACTGAGAAATGTTCACAAAAATATATAAGAAGTCTGTAAAAGCTTTAAGAGATATATCTATGTACTTTTGAGCTTCGATGTCAAAAAATTTTAAAATTAAGCAAGAATATAACAAAATTGTAAATTATGCTGCCAAAACTTTAACAAAGTCTGCCAGCAAGTATGCTCACATTATTGGAAATTTCTCCGGGTCACGTCTAGTTCTCAATATTAATTGAATGGGCCTTAATATTTGTTTAATTTTGAAGAATTGAGCTTCAAACAAGCAGAAATTTACCAGTTTATGAATGTTCCCACTAAAATTCAGGTTACGTAACTGGAACGATACGGGATTTACATCCGGACAAGGATTATCAACTTGACAAAAGATTTGAATAGTATTATTTGAGAACATCTACGAGATTTTGAATTTTTGTTAATCACAATCAACAATACTTTAACTATGTCTTTCTTACAGACTTGGCCCTTCGGTTTCCATCACATGCAAAACAGCAACAGCAGTGGTCGACTACAAACACTCCAATACTCGCCCACCGAATGGAGTAATTCGCGCAACGCTTATTCCAAATATGGACGCATGAGTAGCATGAGTAACGGCAACTGTAGCAACAACAGCGCGAACTATCAGCAAGAAACGGCCAATATGCTGCACACACACCACTGGTACACGGCGGACGAGCCCATGGTGGAGGACATCAATGTAAACAACAACAATTGTGTCTTTTTCGAACAGCAACCAGAACATCATGTCAAACATAATCATGACATAACACAAGTGCATCATCAACTTTATCACACTAGCCACTCAAATGCCCAAAGTTCAATACGATAGTCACATACACATACATTGTATATGTATTTATATATATTAAATTTTTACAATTGTAGTTGTATACATATCTATATATCTAAGATTTTATGCACAAATGCATGCTTTGCAAATAAAATTAATTATTTAAATATATTCAAGGAAATAAGTATTAACACAAGTGTGTACGTAGAGCTAATAGCTTATTATAAAATAAAGATTAATTATATGGCCGTATTATAAATTGCTTCGACCGTTGTCACTTATTTATTATTGTTGTTGAGACTTTAATATTAATGCATTATTCTTGAATGATTTTTTTTGTAACGCTGACCACAAATTTGTTTTGCTACGAAAAGGATTCGAAAAATTAAATAAAAAATAAAATAAACACATAAAAATAAATCAATAAATAAATAAAAATAAATCAATAAACGTAAATGTATAAAAAAAACTTAAATCAATAAAAAATAAAATAAATAGATAAATAACAAAAAAATTATATAACTAAACAATAATAAATCAATAACTAAAACAAAAAAAAACATAGATAAATTAAAAAATTATAAAAAATAGGTTCAAAAATAAAAAAGTAAAAATTCTAAAATTAAAAAAAAATTTAAATAAATATGTACATATATATATATAAGTATAAATAAACAAGAAAAAAGTTAAATACCCTTCACAAATAAAAATGTTTCCTTGCAAGAACTTGATCGGTTTTTTGCGGTCAGTTTGCATGGCAAGTATATGTTATAGTTGTCCGATCTCTACAATTTGTTCGGATATTGTAGCGATGCCTTGGACAATAATCAATGCCAAATTTCGTGAAGATTCCTTATCAAATAAAAAAGTTTCCTTACAAGGACTTGAGCTTCATCGGCAAGTTTGTATGGCAGTTATATGCTATCGTTGTCCGATGTCAGCGCTTCCGACAAATGAGCAGTTTCTTGGAAAGAGGACATGTGCAAAATTTCAGACCGATATCTCAAAAACTGTGGGACTTAAGGGACTAGTTCGTGTTTAAATACGGACAAACGAACATTACTAAATTTACTCAGATCTTCACGATAATCATACAAGTAAGAAAGGGCTCAGGTGTAACCAAACATTTTATTCTCTTGCAACTTGCAATGAGCAAAGCAGGGAACACATCTCAGGTGTTGATAGAACTTTATATTAAAAAATGAGTTACGAACAAATTTGGTAGTTTATTATAATATAGACTCATAGACTCAATTAGTTTTAAAACTACATATATACAAGTAGGAGATATTTTATATATTTTTGGCATAACTACATATTATTAACAGGAACAGATTCTCTCCGAGTTTCATTAAGGTACCTCACATACCATCAACAATATGGTACATAAGGAGTAAAGTCCACCCAATGTTTGAAAATCCTGATATAAGTTATATAGGGGCCAGGGCAAATTTTCACGCGATTTTATCCCTGTTAGGAGAAAAACACGCTCACTTAATTTAATTAATCTAACTTACATATTGGCCGATATTAGGAGTATAATGTCAATCAGTTCGAAAAAAATTGTATTAGGTATATAAGGACTAAGGGAATTATTGATCCGATTCAATCCAATTTTGATACACAGGCATACTATTATCAGAAAAAAATTCTCTTCGAATTTCTATAACATATCTCACAGATTGAGAGATATTTTTGATTACACGTTCGCAATAGAACTGGGGTCTACATATTCGGTATCTATGAGCTTGAATAGCTTTGGATTGATTTCAACAATTTTTGGTCGTAAGGTAGCATACTTCAAGGGCACTATTCGTGCAAAGTTCAATGGTGCTTGAGTTGTATACTGAAAGTGAAAAGATGAGTTGGAATTTAAAATTGTGTTACATGTGAAGTAGGCGTGGTTGTAGTCCGATTTTGCCGAATTTGGTTAAAATCGGTCTAGTGGGTCCCGAAATATGGGTTTTCACCTAAATGTGAGCGGTGCCACCCTTAAAGTTCAATTTTGACAGCGGCTCTAATGAAGCCCCCTTGTGCCATCTCGGGTATAAGTTTTTATGTGTCTGACGCATTTATTTATACATTTATCGCACTTTAAGTAGTTTTTAAAAGTATCGTTATATGGGTAGTGGGCGGGGTTATCATCCGATTTCACCCATTTTCATACTGTCGGTAAGGGTGCTAAAAATAATTCCTCTGTGTGAATTCGGTTATTAGACATAGCGTTAGCCGTTTAGAAGATATAGATAGGTTTAATACCTCTCGCCCACTTTTTCAAAAATTGTTAATCTGCAGATGCCCCTCCCTAAATAACAACTTTGTATCTAATTGTAGAACTTAGTTATGGCTATTTTCATTACACCCATCTAGTTTCACGGCGACTTAATTTTCTCTTAAATTACAGCTTGCACATACACACAGACGGACGGACGGACAGACATTCAACTGGATTTCAACTAGTCTTGTCATCCTGATCATTTATATATATATATAACTTTATATCTATATCGATTAGTTTTAGGTGTAACAAACAACCGTTTGGTGAACAAAACTCTGTGCATCATGTTGCAAGAGTATTAAAATAATTGAAATAAAATTTAAAAAAAAATAAATAGCGGCAAGAAAGCTCGGAATGTCAGAAAACGACTTTTTTCGCTGGCGATGGGTAACATTATCGTCTATGAAATGCTGTTATTAGCTTAACGAAATTAAGTTTTAAATTTTCTAAAGTAAAATGTAGTGTAGTGTGTAGTGTTGACAGGTAAAAATTAGCAGTGTATATTTTTAAAAATCAAATATAAATAATATTATAATTATACAACTTTTGATACAATTCCAAATAATTAAAATACAGCGCATCCTCACCTAAAAGTATGCAAAACTTTTTAGAGAACATCCAAATAATATCAGAAGCTCTGCAAAAGAGAACACCTAAATTCAAATATTTATTAAAAATAAAAAAAACGAGATATACCCAAGAACTTATACATATTTATTTGTATAATTTCATCAATAGAATATAAACATATATTTATATATGTATATTTTTACATTTTTTGCTTTAAAAAATTACATATGTTAAAATTTATCTATCAAGCAAGCGGCAACCATTATATACTTATCATTTGTATGCAAAATATTTTGAAATTATCCTTCCTGTTTTGGTACGGTTTTGTGCATCTACATACGTAGGCATAAATGCAGACACTCTCTTTTACTAATTAATTAAAGGGAATGGTTTCTTAAATAAACTTTACAATGCAACGACAAAGGAAAAAAATCGTAAAAATTATTTGTTGTTTGCACGTTTTTGTTTTCTTTTTTGCAGAATTTACACTTTAAAGAAATATCTGTATAAAAGTGTAGCCACCAAACCAAGTACCAATGGCACTAGCCATGAACGCATCGATGAGTCTTCTGTTTTCTGATCCGAGTTCCATGAGGGTTCGCTCTTCTTAGGCACATTCGTACGTTCGGCTTCGACTAGTTCGCCGATTTTGTATTTTTTCATCATTTCGCGAGCATCTGAGCTGTGGCCGACATCTTCGAAACTCTCTGTTGCTTCTTTGCCGCCTTGTTCGATCAGTACTTCTTCACCACCGGGATGCTAAAATTTAAATGTATCATTAAAGCAAGTGAAATACAAAGTAAAAAATTAACAACAACAACAAATGCAATACAATTCAGTATTGTCTGTATTGAAGTAGCAATTTGAATAACAGTTCTACTTTAAGACAGAAATGTTTTATTCAACAATACGCACAATAACCTAAAACGCGCCGTAGTAGCGTGGCAAAACTCTTCTACCGCATATATGTTAAATTTATGAATTTGAATAGTTTGCTCTTAAAGATATGCAAACATTTTTTCATTACGTGTTTACACATTTACTTATGGTATGCATATAGATATTCTCCTATTGAACTTGAGATGAAAAGTTATTAGGCCGATATATAAATACTGCCATTTAGTATGTGTTTTTGTTTGCTCCTTCGTTTTCTTGACTTTTTTGTTCACCTGAACTTTGACTAAAGATTTGCATTTTGTCGCCATATCTCATTGCTTTGTAGAATATGTATGTGCACAGACACTGAACATGATGACAATTGTACATATTTCCATTTTTAGCGGATGTAGAAAATAAGAAATAAAACATTTATCGCAATTACAAAAAAGCCCGAACGTACCAAAAAATTTCTAATATTAAATATGTACATCCAAATATTTTGAAAAATTATTTTGAATTAAGTGCTTTTCAAAAAATATGTTAATTGGATAATAATTAAGGTTTTGCAATTAACTGGTTTAATACCTTAAATAAAACCATACCAACTAGTATGTACATACATGAATTTTAATTGCTTAAACCATTTTAATTAAATTGTAAACGTAAATCTCTCGTAATCTTATCAAAGTAATATACTTCAAATATTTCATTAAACAACAGTAACAGAGTAGAAGGTGTGCAATACAAATATAATAAAATGATTAGGTATATTCATATACATTTATGTATAGTTTTCAACTGTATAGCGTGCTTTTTTAAATATCACCAGTTGTTTTATTTACCATATACTATATACATGTGTATAAGCGCCGGCAATCACATGAACAATTTGGACCGATTTTGATAAGCGTAAACTTATATAACACTTATATTTTAAATTGATAAGATACATAAGGATGCATTAGATAAAATTTATAATAAAAGACGTATAAAGCCAGAAATATTTATAAATTATGAAATGAGCGAACAAAAAAAAAAAGAGTAAGACTGGTTTTACATATTGACCCAAAAAGAAGCATGTATAATATTGCAACAAGTGTGTAGGTAGTCAAACGATTGTGATGCGAAATGCAAACACGATTGCGCAAAACTTTGCTTTAGCGATATTTGTAGCTTTATAATGTAAAAAAAAACACAAAATTGCAAAAATTGCATGTTAATCAATGAAAATGAACCGACAGCCGTTTATCAAACAAAAGCTTCATATTAGTAGAGAATTGTATGACGTGAAAATGGAAAATGAAATAACTTTGCTGTAATGAATACTAAATTAATTCAATATTTGCATTTTAACAATGAGAAATTGCGTCAGTTTGAAGTATAAGCACTTATATTTCTACAAATTTCAATAAAATTTGGTTAAGAACTTTGTACCGAAGAGCCGACAGAAGTACAAATATTAAACTAGAATACTTATGTTTTGTCGGTGTGCCATCTTATAGCATTATGGCAATGATAACACTTTAAGTGACTAGCTGACTAATGCGATGTGAT